GACGTCAACGGCGCGAGCCAGACGGGCTTCATGGTGCCGCAAGGCTTCCTTAGACGCGGCTCGCGCTGCTCGAACGCGCGAGCGTTCCTGAGGCCGGCGCGGCTTCGACCGAATCTCCACACAGCACTCAGCGCCTTCGTCACGCGGATCCTGTTCGATTCGGCGCGGCGGGCGTATGGCGTCGTGTTCGACCGCGGGGGCGAGGAAGGGCGCGGACAGGAGGTTCGCGCACGGAGGGAGGTGATTCTAGCGGCCGGCGCCATCAACACGCCGCAGCTGCTCCTGCTGTCGGGCGTGGGGCCTTCGCAGCAGCTGAGGCGCTACAACATCTCTGTTGTGGCCGACCTCCCCGTCGGGCGCAACCTGCAGGTGAGCGAGGGAGGGGCGGAGGGAGAAGGCAGGGGCAAGGGGGGGGAGAAGAGGAAATATCTGGTTAGGCATAAACCGCTGTCGATGGAAACTCAGTGTGAGCAGGAGAAAGAGGGGAAAGGAACAGTCAAAACACAACAAAAAGTGAAACTTGTTTGCTTGACATTATGGTAATAGCCTGTGCTTGTCTTAATTTAGTCTTAACTAGGGAATAGAGTAGATAACTGAATTTCTGTTCAGTGCTCTTCCCTGTCCTGTTGCAGGATCACATAGCCGGTAGCGCTATCTTCACGATCAGGGAGCCCGTGTCCCTCCTGTACAGTCGGCTGGAGAACCTCCCTGCCCTCCTCAAGTACACGGTGTTTGGCTCGGGCCCCCTCACCTCCCTGGGCGGCGTCGAGGGGGTCGCCTTCGTGTCCACCAGGTTCGTGAACGCCTCCCTGGACTGGCCCGACATCGAGTTCCACTTCGTGTCCGGGACGCATGCCTCGGACGGCGGCTCCCACCTGCGCCGCGCGCTGGGCCTCCGGGAAGAGTACTGGGCCCACTACTTCAGTCACCTTGTCGACCGCGACCAGTTCAGCATCCTGGCCAAGCTGATGCGGCCTCGGAGCCGAGGCATCGTGGAACTCCGCTCGGCTGACCCCTATGAGTACCCGAAGGTGTCTGCGCTGTCTGCAGCTCGCAAATGCTGTTTGTTAAATGGCTTATTTTTGTCAGAATGGTCTTTTGCTCCTATTTTTCTTGATCGTCAATTTGCATGATGATATTGGTTCTATTTTCTCGTGGGCAGCTATAAATCTACCCACATCTTTGCGCTTTCTCTTTTTCTCATATAGATTATTACCAACTACCTGCACGACCGAGCTGACCTGCTGGTAATAAAGGAAGGCCTGAAGATTGCTCGCCAGGTTGGGAACACCCGGGTCTTCCGTGAGTGAGTTTTCTATTTCTTTGCATGCTTCAAGTCGCTAGCAGGTTTTCCTTTAGGCCATGTAAGCATCTAGACGGTAATATGTTTGTAGTAGTATTGGGCAGGTAAAATTGATTAATGAAGGGAGCATGTCTAAGTTTCTAATCTGAAGTTCCAATAAATGTTTGTGTGGACAGTAGTGTAGGACAGACGTGTTCCCTAAATTATTCATGGCACGGCTGTTATTTGAATCATAACATAAATGTCACACAAGACTAAGGGTTATTATACCTGATTTAATAGAGCAATTATAAGTAGAATGATATATGATTTGGTCATCTCTTTTTTCATATACTGTAGTCTGACTTCATATTTTTTCACTTAAGCTTATAAACTTATTTGTTTTAACCATTAACCACCATTATGAAATAATAATGACCTTCGGGCACAAGCACTAATGACACCATTGGCTAGATAATTTTGCATTGCTACCAGATCAGGCACTTCTTTGTGGCAAACTCTTGCCACTGAAGGCAAAGTCGAAATTATTAAGACTGCTACAGGATACACTTGTTTTGTATCCACATGGGAGATCGTGTACTGGCAATTTAATGGTCCACCTTGCTTCTCTGCCTGTGACGTCTTATCTGCCTGAGTCTGCCTTGAATTGGCATTCGGTATTGTTCAAGTCAGGACTGCCGGCTTGAAAAAAATAAGAACTAAAGCATTGAGAAAATAAGCAAGTAAATAAATTAATTTAAGTTAAATGGATAAGACGCAAATTCATGCATTTTAAATCGTTAAACCACACAACCCCCCAATTCCATGGCTGTTATTCCTGTGGGGGGAGCTTCGAGACAGAGACTGGGACCCAGTGCTGGGGATCACCCCTGCCTTGCGCCTCAGCACTCTTTTCTTCTTCCACTTTTCATTTCCTTCTTTTCCCCAACCCCTTCGACTATCCACTTCATAAGGTGTAAGAGCCATATAGAAAAGAAGAAAGGCTGATTTTGTGCCAGTCCTGAATGGCCTAGGGGAGCCAGGGGCACTGTGTTCCCATGTTTAATTGTCTAGCCCTTACCCCTCAAGGGGGCCCTGAGGGGTGGACTGTTTCTCTCTCCAACATAGTCCAGGCTTACTATGGTCAGCAATGAAGATTTTATCAGGTGTATTGAGGCTAAATCCTTAATTGATTGGCCCCCGATTCCCCGAACCCAGGCTCTCTTTTGACCACAACACTGAACACTACTACTACTACTCCTTCCTTAATGACAATCACCTTAATCCAGTCTAAATCATCCACCCAGGTCATTACTCAACCTCTAGAAAACATACCTCCTTTTCCACAATCCTCTACTTCACCTCCACCCCCACAGCTTTCTTCAGCTACTCCCCCCTCCTCCCTTAATACTACTCTGAAGCCTTATTGCCCACCACTCTGCAGTGCTACCTCTCTCAACACTACTCCCTCTTCCACACGTCCCTACCCCTCTACTATCCCCACCACTACAAACCTTTTGAATACTCTGTATTTAGCCCAGCCAAATGGGATCGATTTTTCGTAATCCCCTCTACAGCCCATTTTCTGACAACACTCTTCTCTCCCAGCAGTGCTTCCAAAAAGAAATAGGCAAAGTTCCCTTCTGCAG